ACACACACACACACACACACACACACACACACACACACACACACACATTGAAATCATATTTAAAAGCATATACGAATGAAGAAAGACAAATACATTCAACAACAAATATATTCAACCGATATATTATGCATGCACTGTAAACGTTACATGTCTGACTTTCTTCTTGTTGTGTTCAAAAAGAATTAAACAACAAACTTTCCTTAAGTTATTTCAAAGTATTATTTGATTGAACTGACTTTTAGACGGTCGCCAAGGTAACACCGGCATCAACTAATCGCATTTGCGCTGCTTAGTCAACGTTAAAACGAATCGTAGTTAAAAAAAAAAAAACAAAAAAAAAAAAAAGTAACGAATACGAGTTGGAGTAAAGGATCTCAAGCCATCAAAAACACACACACATAGCTGTGATTGTGGTAATTATAAGTGGAACTTTAGGAAATTTCTCAATTTACGTCAATTGCAAAATGCACTTAAGTAAAATCTTGTAGGCGCACTCAAAACATGAATTCGACCATGTATGTCTGTTTGATTCCGTTTGGCATTTTTTCGAATTTCAAACAAATTTATTGTTTGCTTAAGTTTGCTTAAGAAATTGTCACAATATTTGTAGGCCATATACATATCTAACTTACCATTGCACATACATACATATATATATATATAGGAGAATTTTACTTAAATATCTTTCATCTTATCTATGTGCAGATATATATATATATATATATATATATATATATAGCCCTTGAATTTTCATTTACCATCTGCTTGCTGCACTCTCACTTATGCACCAATATCTGTTCGTATTTGTATTTGCATGCATGTATGCTCCCGTATACAAGTCTATCTATTGGTCTGTATGCGTGCGTGTATACTGTACTTTATTCTTCTTGTTCGGTGCTTTTAATTGAATCAAAAAGTTTTCACTAACTAAAAGCTGTAAATTTGCTTTCAGTTGAATTTTCAACTATTTTGCCGCTTCCTTGTCACTGAGTTTGCGGAAAGTTTTCCTCTACATGTGTGTGTCGAGATGTGTACGTATATAATAATAATAATAATAATAATAATAATAATAGTCGGTGCAGCAACATTGTTAAGATTGTAAAAATTGCAAACGAAGAAGAATTAAAAGAAACTTTTAACGCAAAGCATCCTAAGTGATTTGATCAGAACTGAAGGTATTATCAACATAAGCGTCATCGTCGTGTCTTTAGCATTATTAGTATCGCCATCGGTAACAAGTAATACCCCAAAGAAAAGCTATATTGAAACTGATAACATGATTGAGTTAGATTTTGTTGCCATTTAATTAAGTTATATAATTAAAGAACTCGTTTAAATAACTTGTAAAAAAAGGAAAAGAAAAAAAAAGAAAGACACTTAAATATTTAAAAAAAAATAATAATAATAAAATAAAAACGAAAAACGAAAAAGGTTTACCTTTAATTTTAATTAAAGAAGTAAAGAATTTCTTGACTATCATTTAGTTAAATAACATAGTAAAATTTGCCATTTCCTATCTATGGCCATTGTAGTAACACTTAATTTCAATTTTCTAAGAATCTTTACAGTGTAGAGATTTGCTTTTAAATCACAGACAAATCTAATTTTTCTTACTCCAACTCTCTCCAATTTTAAAAGTTTTAAAATTCCTCTTAACAACAAAATTATAAAATTCCTTTTACGATTTTAATTCGTTTTTCTCTATTCTTCTATCTTCATTTCGTTTTGCCGCCCCATGCCCCGCCAGCACCATCTCTTCGATACCATACCATATCGCACTTTTTCTTCGTTGGTTTTTTTTTTTTCTCTCTCTGTCTCTGTCTCCATCTCACCGTCTCTGGCCCAGTAATTCCTTAAGCAACAGAACAATTTAAAGTGTACGGAAAATACGAAAAATGCCAACAATATAATTGTTTGTGTGTGTGTGTTTATGTGCATATATATATATATATATATATATGTGTGCGTTTAGCATCTGTGTGCCATTGTCTGTACGTCTGTCTGTTGCTTTATTGTAAAATACCACAGGCCAATTAATTTTACATGCCATCCCCTGTATATCCGTTAACAGCAGCAAAGCAACACAAGCATTTCCTTTCTTTGTACTTTATATAGGCTACCTAACAAATGAGCGTTTATATACATGTATGTATGCATACATTAGATGGCTACCTAAATAAGTTGTTTTTTTTTTTTTTTCTGAATTTATATGGACGGTCTTTGATTTCTTA